GAAATTAGCTTTGTGAAGTTGTTAACATGCTCTCGAATGGAAACTCCTCTCTTCATCTTGAATTGGTAGAACATTTTCTTCAAATGAAGCATATTCTCAATGCTCTTTGTCAAATATTTTTTATTGAGCGTTTCCCACAATCTCTTTGCCGATGTCTCATTCATCACATCATAAATGAGATCCGGCGTTAAGCATGACCGAATCACCCCACAAGCCCTACTGTGCATTTTCTTCCAAACCCTATCATCAATCTCCTCGGGTTTCTCTTGAAACTCAAGAGTCTCCTCTAAATTTTGTGCATCTAAGGCATCCATTACTTGACACCTCCATAAACTGAAGTTAATCTTGCCGTCGAACTTTGGGACATCAATTTTAGTGTTATTGATGCTTAAATTTTGGATCGCCTTTGTCAAAGCCGACCCCGTTATACTAGTAGCACTTGAACTAGCCCTGCTTGTTTCAACCATATTGTAGATCTATTCTTCCAACAAGAACCCAACAATGAATCCTTCGAATAAACTCCCAAATCCAACCCAGAGCTCTGATACCACTTGTTGTGCGCCGCAGAAGCCCCAAATAGCCAAATCAAAAGCACACACAAGAACAATAGTAGACCACAAGTGAACACAAGCCAAACAATCATATCAAGTACACAAGATATACGTGGTTCGGCAATGTGCCTACGTCCATGGGGCAAGGAGGGGAAAGCTTTACTAATGAAATCAAAGAGGAATACAAATTAGGGTTACAAATCTTACCCTTAACCTTAAAATAAGACCTCTTGATCTCTCCAATAGACTCCAACAATAGAAGCCCTCTTAATCCCCTTTCAGCAGCCACTTCTGCGGTCGACCGGACCGGTCGACCGCCACCAATGCTGACGCCCACTGAACCATGTGCACGAAAGCGGTCGACCGGTCCGGTCGACCGCCACCCAGACGACCTGAATCGTGAGCCTGAACTGCTGCCAATTCTACAGGTGCGTCTGCAAATATGTGCTCATTTTTCTCGGACCATAGCAAACGTACGTACCAAATACAACTAATCTATCACTCGTCCAAGTTTGCTTAGTCAACATTATTAATTTTCTCCATCACTTGGGTTCTTCATAGTCCAACAAGCAATATAACGATGAGCGATGTAATGTGATTTGCTTTAATCTAAATTGGATTTTTTTTCCAAGCTATTTGGTATTGACTTGCGGCTTGAATACGTAAAATATGTCATTGGAAATGAGGGGGGAAATTGAATTATTGTCTGTTCAACTATGTTGTCGGTTCAGGCTAAACACGGATGTAGTTTATGACGCTATATTGTTTTATTCTCATATCCTCTTTACTATTAAAAAAAATAGTGGGAAACACTAATTTTAATAGAAGCTGTTGATATATAAGACTATTTCTAAGAAGTATATTGTAGCTAATTAAGTTAGCTGGGGAAAAAACATGTTATCATTAAAATCAGATACGCTATGAAAAGAATAAGAAAATTTAACTTTTCCGTGGCTCGTTTCCTTCCCACTAAACAACCAACATCAAGAATTTATGCCACTCAAAGATAATGATTATAGCGGATGCCAAAAGTATCCAAGTGAAACAAAAGAAAGTGGGTTGGAATTATATTCTTAAGGATAATAATTATATCCGAAAAAGGAAAGTAAAAAAACACCTTAGGCCAATGAAGTCGCAGTCCATTAGTCAGTGTCAATAACTTGTGATCTATATTATATTATATTTCATGTAATATGGAAGCAATAATCAAGGGTTAATTTCACAGACACCCCTGAACTTTAGGGATGTTGCACATAATTTTTTAAAACTTTGTTTATTTTATATTACCCCCAAAATCATAGGGTGTCTCACAAACCCCCTGAACTTTACTTATTTCCATCGACCCCCACCCCAACCTCATGATTCAGAGGGTCATATAGGGGCTGTTTGGTAGGCTGCAACTGGAGTGGTTGCAACTCCAGTTGCATGCAACTAGGTCCAATTTGACCAGTTGCATGTGTTTGTTTTACTGCAACTCACCGTTGCAATTGCAACCACAGTTGCAAAACAAGCCTCAGTTGCAACATATGACTTACGTCAAAAATGACCGCAAGTCATAGTTGCAACTTAGTTGCAACTGACCTAAATTTATTAAATTCAAAATCATTACTTAATATTTCAAAAATAAATTCATTAAAGGTTTAAAATAATCTTTTAAATAATTATTATTATAATAATTTCCTCAAAAATGTTTTTAAAAAAAACATTAATCTTTTAAAATAATTATTATTATAATAATTTCTTCAAAATAATATGTTAGTTTTTAAAGTAATATATTATCTTTAAAATAATATATTATTTTTTTTAGAATAATATATTTTTTAATAATATATTTTTGAAAATTAAAATTTTCCAGGATACTATTATTTTTCTATAAATAATTATATTTTTTGAATTAATATTATTTTAAAATAATATAAAACTTTCTAAAAAATATATATATTTTCCTAAAAAAAATATATTTTATATAATATATAATTTTCCTAAAATAATATATTTTTTTAAAAATAATATAATTTTTTCTAAAATTAATATATTTTTAAATAATATATTTTTCAAAAATATATATTTTTTTAATAATATATATTTAAAATAATATATTTTTGGATTACATATATTTTTGAATAATATATTTTTTATTAATGCTATTTTTTTTAATAATATATATTTTAAACATAAATAAAATTTTTGAATTATATATTTAATATAATATAATTATCTAAAAATAATATCATATTTAAAATAATTATATTTTTAACAATATATTTTTAAAATAATATGTTTTTTGAATAATGTATTTTTAAAATAATATAATTTTCTAAAAATAATATATATTTTAAATGATATATTATATTATTTTTAAAATATTATATTTCTTTTTAAAAAATATATTATTTTTAAAAATTATATTATTTTTTAAAATTATATTATTTTTAAAAAATATATTATTTTATAAAAATATATTACTTTTTAAAAAATATTATTTTTTAAAAATATTTTATGAGTTGCATTGCATATGTTAATTAATAAGCATAATCAAACAGCTGCAACTATAAGTTGTAAAATTTAAATTTTAAACCAAATAATTGCAACTGTAGTTGCATGTAAGAAGAGTTGCAACGTCTCAGTTGCATGCAAGTGACACTTGCATTGCAACTCTAGTTGCAAACAACCAAACCCACCATAATATTAGATAGTAAAGTTGAGGGCAGGGGGTACCCATAATACAAAACAAATGAATTGTTCAGAGGAGGGTGCTATGGTCATTTCCCCTGTGCCGCTCCCACAGAAAGGAATCCGGCACGTCGTTTTTCCACCCCTTGGATTCGTGTCCGTTTATTAAACGGACGGTAACCAGTAGGCCGTTACTATTGACCGACACGTTGCGTTTTCTCTTCTTCCTCCCCTGCGTACTACACGATGAGAAACTAACCGTCTAACCGATACGTGGACTACGTTCCCGGTTAACGTCACCATCGTAGTCGAAATGACAGCCTTGTCGTTTTCTACGAAGGATACGGCATCTAGTTTAATCGTGCGAGTCTCGTACAAAGCCTAAATCATGTGCAAAATCGTTCTGTGGATACATATATGTAGTAAAAGTATTAACGCCGTTAAGCGATGTATGAAAAAAAAAATCACTTATCATGAACTCTTTTTTCCCTTAAAACATCATTTATCATAAACTCAATTGTGTACATATGTGTAACGTGTAAAAAGACAGAAATGCAATCTAAAACCTTAGATACTCTTAAAAAAATGGTAAAACATAATCATTTTACTAAAATTTAACAGTATCAGATAGATCTATCCTATGAATAATGATAATATTCTCTTCCCTAGCTACTGCTTCAACGGTATAAAAGAGAGAAATGAGATCCTTTATAAGTCATCAATTTTAAAAATATATAGCTGAAGAGAATGGACGGCATACTTTTCTATTTCAAAGTGTAATGGTAGTGTATGAGTTGAAATATAGTTATCAATTCCTGAGCTCACGATAATTTACCTCACCTTATAAAGTTTTACTGTCAAAAGTTGAACACTTTCTCCAAAGAACTAACCGGAAGTAAAATCGAAAAAACTAGATGGATAATAGAAATATGAAGTGCTATAATAATATACACAAGTAGTTGATTGTAGTAAAAATCTTAATGAAAGCAATAAACTTCAATATATAATATATATATACTATAAGTATATATATATATTATATTTATATTTTATATATATATATATATATATATATATAAATTATATATTATATATATATATTATATATATATATTATATATATATGATATATATAATATATATATATATGGGAAAACTGACCTGAGCTCGAGCTAGGAACTTCCTACGCTCAAATTACGTTGCAACTGTTGATTGGGGTACGCGTCAACTTGTCGGGTTTTTATGCAGAAAAACCCAATCGATGGCTTCTCTCCCAGTTCTCAGCCCTATTTCCTGAATCGAGGCGCGGAGCGGTCATCAAAAACCCAATCGGCTCTCTCTCTCTCCCGACGACGCAACCCTAATTCCTGAGCTCAGGCGGCGGAGCGGTCATCCAAAAACCCCAATCGATGGCTCTCTCTCCCAGTTCTCAGCCATAATTCCTGAGCTCGAGGCGGCGGAGCGGTCATCCAAAACCCCAACTTCGATCTTCCTGAGTCCCCCGACGACGTGTGTTACGGGTCCCCCGACGATGCTGGTGAGGTCAATTCTTCCCCAGTCACCCTACATTGAACCCCCCCTGAGCTCGAGCCTTGGTTCTTGTCATACGAGTGCTAACTGAAAATTCACAACCTCGCTTTGTTTTTTCGAAAAGAGATTTCTTACATTTAACACTTGAATGCTAACTGAAATTTCATACCACTGAATATTTTCTTACATTGACCACTTGTATGCTAACTGAAATTTCAGAGCTTATTGGGGTTAAAAAGAAAACAAATGGCTGAACCTGGTGATAGAAGCGAAGATATTCATGGTGATAGTAACGACGATTTCATGCCTTTTCCAACAACGATTCCTGTTTCAAGGTACCTCACTAATATCATGAATTTCCCTGACATGAAATATGTTGTTTGAAATAGTAACATTGAGTAACATTATATATTGACCCCCAATTATCTTTATTTTCAGAATGCAAATTGGTGAAAAACCGTGTTTAGGAATGAAGTTTAGTAGTCATGAAGAGGCCTACAACTATTATAACTCGTATGCTTTGATGATGGGATTTGGAATCAGAAAAAGCTCAGTGAATTACTCCAAAAAAGATAAACAAGTGTTGAATAGAAAATTTGTTTGTGACAAAGAATGTTATAGATCTAATAAAGATAAGAGAGATATAGGGAAAAATATCAATCATCAGCGAGAGACCAGAGTTGGCTGTAAAGTAATGATGAGAATAAAATTATTGGAGGATAAAACATGGATAGTTGTAGGTTTTATTGAAGATCACACAAACCACATGCTCTGTAGTCCAGATAAAGCAAAGATGCATAGGTCACAACAACAATTTCATAGAAGTAAAAGGTGTAAAAAAATGATTGAATGTTTGCAAGAAGAAGGTATTACTCCTTCTACTATTTCTCGTGTTATTAACGCGACAAGTGGAAGAGAAGATGAATCAGTGACACCACAACAATGCATTGACTATATGAAAACTCAAAGGCACAACAATATTGGCAATGAATGCATATCTATTATCCAATATTTTCAAAGAAAGGCGGCTAGTGATGCAGATTTTTATTTTGCATTGGAAGTAGATTGTACTGGACAAATGAGAAGTGTTTTTTGGGCAGATGGAAAATCAAGAGCAACTTATTTGAAGTTTAATGATGTTATTGTGTTTGATGTGACTTATAAAACCAACAAGTTTAGTCTTCCATTTGCACCATTTACTGGGGTGAATCATCATAGACAATCTACTTTATTTGGTTGCGCACTACTAGCTGATGAACAAGAAGAAACATTTGTTTGGTTGTTTCAGGAATGGTTAAACTGCATGCATGGAATTGAACCAGGTGCTATCATCACAGACCAAGACCGAGCAATGTGTAATGCCATTCATAAAGTATTTTCAAACACAAGGCATCGTTATTGTTATTGGCATCTGCAGCGACATATTGCTGATCATTTGCATTCTTTGAATTTTGTTTATGGTGAAGAATTTCAAAAATATTGGGACTTGTGGTGTAATAGTGGTAACATTGAGAACTGTAATTTGCATTGGCACAAGTTGAAGGAGAAGTTTAAGATAATAGAAGAAGAAGATGGATGGCTGCAAAATATTTACATGTGGCACAAGTTGAAGGAGAAGTTTAAGATAATAGAAGAAGAAGATGGATGGCTGCAAAATATTTACATGTATCGAGATCATTGGGTGCCATGCTTCTTAAAAGGTATTTTTTTTGCAGGAATGAGATCAACTCAAAGGAGTGAAAGCATCAACGCATTCTTTGATGGATATGTGAATTCACAAACACAGTTAAAAGAATTTGTAACGCAATATGAAAAGGCCGTTACACATCGACGAATGAGTGAAGCACATGAAGATTTTAGAACTCTTAATACAAAACCGCAGTTTCACCTTAGGCATCCAATTGAAAGACAAGCTGGAAGTAGTTATACCCGCACTATGTTTCATGTATTTCAGAATGAGATCAAAGGGTGTGGTGTTCTTGGCCTTCTAGAGTAGAGAAAATAAGAAAAGTCTGTTTTATGGCGAGTTGGTGACTTAGATGAAAGCAATGAAAAGTTGAGGTTTGTTACTTATGATGAATGTAGAGAAGTACAGTATAGTTGCAGTTGTGGTTTGTTTGAGAATAGTGGTGTTCTATGCAAACATATAGTGTACACTCTAATGTTCAACAAACAATGCTGTTCATTACCCAGTGTATATATCCTACACCGTTGGACTATAGATGCTCGACATCGTAACATTGGAGTTAGTAATGTTGTGTTTGGTAAAAACATTGCAGGTGGTGTAGAAAAAATCAATTTGTTGAAATCTTGGGCTTTGAAAGCAAAAACCAACAATGCACTGGAGCTTGCCTTTGAGTCAGATAAGAGGATGCATGAGCTTGATTCTTTGTTAACAAGTTTCATAGAGAGGGTTGAAGAAGAAGTCAGAGGGTGTCAAGCAATAGATGCTGGAAGCAGCCACATTTCTGACTCGGATGTTTGGTACATTGACTTCATTACAATCTGATGGGGTTCTTGTTCATTACAATCTGATGAATTGCTGTGATTTCTGAAAGTGTTTGTGACTTCATTACAATCTGATGGGGTTCTTGTTCATTACAATCAGATGCTTGATGTTATCAGATGCTTGATCTAGTGTTTGACATTTGCTGAAAGTGTTTGGTACATTTGCTGAAAGTGTTTGGTACATTGACTTCATTACAATCTGAATTGCTGTGATTTCTGAGATTATTTGCTGAAAGTGTTTGGTTCTTGTTCATTTGCTGAAAGTGTTTGATCTACTGTACTATGTATATTGGCCTTCAAGGTTTCAATTTTCAAATTTTAGATTTGAAGTATGTCTTTGTATACTACTGTCAATCTTTTGTTCACCTCAATTGGTATTGAACTGTGGTATTTATCCATCAAGAGCCTGCTTTGTTGTTTGCACCAGTTTGATCTTGGCTAAAATGCATATATATCAATTGAAAATATTTAGCTTCTACACGAATGCGGTTCATAAACTGCTGGCCGTGAATTCTGTTTATGGCCTCACTTGGCATTGAAATGTTGCTGAGATTATTTGCATGCTGTTTGTTTTTGAGATTGAAATGATTTTAGTACTCTTGTATTTGCTGTTTGTTTATGGCCTGTGAATTGCTGTGAATTGCTGTGATTTCTGAGATTATTTGCTTGTTGTCTGTTTATGGCCTGTGAATTGCTGTTTGTTCACAAAGTTTACGCATCACAGCAAAATATAAGCAAGCATAAAAACTCCAACAGTAGTCGTGTCTAGATTAATGTAAATATTCCAGTACTCTTGTATTGCCATAACACAACCTTCTCCCATCACAGATAATGATTTCAATTCAAAAACTGAAGGGAAACAGCACTGTGCACATCTATAGTTACTCAGTCCAAAAAACATACAATACATCTATAGTTAGCTTACATTACATCTTCAAGTCAAAAAACAAGATTCAAAATAAGGGTCCAGATATGACCTCCTTTTGCCGCTACTTCATTGCTGAATCTGTAAAAGAAAAAAGGAGCAATCATCACAAGTTAGCTTACATTAAATACATACAATACATCTATAGTTACTCAGTCCAAAAAAGAAAATTCCCAACAGTAGCCATGTCGAAAATACTGAAGAAACTTCCCAACTTCGCCCAAGAAAGAAAACACAACTAACATAACATCACATGAGATTACATCTGTCCACTTAGTTCCTAATCAAGTTAAAACTTACATGAACAAATACAGTCGCCACCTAGTTCCTAATAACTACATATGAAACTGATACAAACACGAAGAAACATTCCTATATGTTACTGAGTCATTTGGCTATAACACAGAGCAACAATATCAGGACAACGATAATAATAACTTTTAAATATAAAATTACATCCTTCAGCATTTTATTCAAAACATCTACATTTTTTTCCAGCTTTTCCAGCCTTTTTGTGATGTTCTTGGTATCATCCACCCATTCGAAGAAGTCGCAACCCTTGCAATTAGGTCCCTTGTATCTCGGACATCCATAAAATTTCAAGCCCTTATTGTGGCCTTGCTTGCACATCCGTATTCTGCAAATTAACCCACAATAACATCTTCTTTGTACTAAACCCTGATCTTCTTCTCCACTGAACTCTCCCGAAAAGTTCATCTTTTATCTGCAAAAAACATATCACAAACAAGATAAAATTTATACAAAAAGTCAATTTATCTCAGGCATAATTTGAATGAAATGACTGAACGCAAAAACCAGCTTATGTATTGTATTTGCTGAAACCAGCTTGCACATCCATATTACTGAAGTTGTTGACATTTTCCATATTACTGAATTTGAATGAAATGACTGAAGTTGTTGACATAGTATGAATCATAAAAAAGAGTATTCCATATATGCACATTTTCCCTTGAATCATAAAAAAGTATGACAACTATTGTGCTTCAGTTCCCTCCATTCACACCTAGTTTTCTTTCATCAATTTATTTCAGTATCAACTTCACAAAATGTAACACTGCCGCACCAATTGGTTGTGTTCCAGTTTTCTTCAAGAGGTACACAAATCACAGACACGCCATAACAAGGGATATGCAAACAACAAAATGGGTAAAAATATATCACTACCGCACTAATAATTGCAGCCAATCTAGGTCATTAACAAGGGAAATAATCATATTCTCTTTGGGTCGGAGCGCTGATTGTGAATTTTCAGTTAGCACTCGTATGACAAGAACCAAGGCCAAAGTCAGGTGGGTTTCAATGTTCAGAGGGGGGTTACAATGTTCAGGAGGGTTCAATTTATTACAAAATTTTGGACTTTTGCTTACCTTGTTGGTGTTGAGAAACAACAAACTGAATAATAGGATTACTGATCTTGCAGCCTCGCCGTCAATTCCTCAGTACGAAGCTGCACAAAAATCGACAAGAGGAAGAATTGACCTCACCAACGTCGTCGGCGGACCCGTAACACACGTCGGTGTCGGATCGGAGGAGGGGGCGGCGTCGGATCTTCGATGGGGGTCGGAGCGACGTCGTTGGCCACGACGGATCTTCGTTTGGGGTTTTGGCAGGGGAAGAGGGAAGATCGAAGTTGGGTTTTTGGATGACCGATCCGCCGCCTCGAGCTCAGGAACCGCTCCGCCGCCTCGAGCTCAGGAATTAGGGCTGAGAACTGGGGCTCCGCCGCCTCGAGCTCAGGAACCGCTCCGCCGCCTCGAGCTCAGGAATTATGGCTGAGAACTGGGAGAGAGAGAGCCATCGATTGGGGTTTTTGGATGACCGCTCCGCCGCCTCGATTTCAGGAAATAGGGCTAAGAACTGGGAGAGAGAGAGTCATCGATCGGTTTTTCTCATAAAAACCCACAGTGTACGCGTACCCCAATCAACAGTTGCCACGTAAATTTTGAGCGCAGGAAGTTCCTGAGCTCGAGCTCAGGATCAGTTTTCC